TTATGGGAGTTAGCAAATTGTGAAGGCTAGATTGCGACCATCAGCTTTGGAAGGCAGGTCAAAATTAAAATCCCATCCTCTTAGCTATAAAGTTCAGTAAAGACTTCACGTCGTCACTTTCTCTAATCTAACCTACCTCACAAGGTGGTAATGAGAATAAATCAGAATAACTGAGTTAAGTATATTATCTCAAATTCAGTGAACAGAGAGAGGGAATACAAATATGAATAATAATGAGAGTGATAACAGTTATTAAGGATTTTAGATGTAAAGATGTTACAAAAATATTTATCATTGTTTTAATGCTTGAAATGTTGATCTCTCCCTCTTGAGATTTCCTGCATTACTTTGATGGCTCTTGAATTTTTCAGTCCAAAAATCCACATGCTGTTTTGTATGTACAAGTACTACAGCTTAGCTGTAGGGAGCTCCATTTTTTCCACTTGTTCCACAAGGAAAAAAAAAAGGGCCATCAGGGGGTCAGAAGACAACTCCTTTTACGGCTATGTCAGGCAAAAAAATAATCTCTTGTTTATCAACTGCGGTTGCCATCTTATCAACCCTTTTCAAACTTATATGTGTTCAGCTTCTTATCAGCCTTGGGCAACATGACTCATTTTGAACTGGAGATAGAAAAATCCCGTTAGACTACCCAGTCACTTTATTTGACTGTCTTAGGCTGCCTTAGACCACATAGTCAGGTACATACTTAATTCAGAAATAAGCCCTTTGTGTTCAATGAGATTTAGGATTAGGGTTGATCTGTATGACCAGTTGCCCCTGCAAGGGAAGGAGTACATGGCCTCTACTCCCCCCAGCCCAATGAGGAGCTAACCTCTGCCCATCTTTTCCTGCTATGTATGAAAAGTAGGGTTGTTTTTTTTTAATTTGTGCCAAGACAAGTGATGTTGCCCAGGTTGCCTGCTGCACTTCATTTCATTCTCTCCATTCCAACCCACCATTGTATGCTGTGGGAAGGAGACCCCCTCCTCTCTGGTCACCGGTTGTTGTCGTTCACAGCCATCTTGTCCTGTGCCGCTAGGTTGTGTGTCCTCCTCTGAAGAGATTTTGACCAGTGAAATGCTGGAAGTTTTTTTTTTTTTTAATGTTTACTAGTGGGCATTCCTTCCCCTCCCTCCTCCCCAGGTTCACTGATGGAAAGATGAAATGGTGGATTTATATTTTTAACAAGGTGAAATTGATGAGAGTTCTGCCAGAACCACAGAATACTGCAGGTTCTCACCTACAGCTTACAGCTCAAACTACTCAAATGTATTATTAATAAGCTGCAGCCCATATTAGACAATGACACTGCACTTTCTCAGGTACTGGGTGGCATATGGGCGAACATCCAGCCTGAAGCAGATTCTCACAAAGAACAAGAAACAACAGAACAGTGATGCTAACGTGGAAACCAGATCCTGCAACAAACCCAAATGTCTACTTCGCCCCCACATCAATACCAGCAGCGCTGTCACAGGCCCCAACAAATGCACACTTAAGATTAGAAGCACCTTCACATGCTTTTCCTCTAACATGATATATGCCATCACCTGTCAACTGTGCCCCTCTGATTCTGTGTAGGACAAATGGGACACACTTTTCGCAAAAGAATGAATGGACACAAGTTTGACATCAGGAATCAAAAAAGGATAAAGTAATACCAGAGCATTTCAACTTCCCAAGATATTCTGTGGCAGACCTTAAAATGATCATCTTGGAAAAATGAGACTTTAACAGCACTAGTGCACGAAAGACTGCTGATTCAAAGTTTTCAGACAATCTCAGAAGATCTCAACAAACACAAAGGGTTTTTAACACATTGGAATTGTTAATTGATAAGATATGTGTACTCTGTCTCACAAGTAACCTGCATCTGCGTACCTAACCTGTTTTCGCCTCACTCCCCCCATGCCTCATCCCAATTTAAACCCTACATCAGTCTAGCACTCAGTCCATCTGATGAAGTAAGTTGCAGCTCTCGAAAGCTTACGTCTTTCAATAAAATGTGTTAGTCAGAAAAGGTGCTACCAGGCTCCTTATTTTAAAGAATATTGCCAGTTTCTTGTCGTCCAAGGGACAGGAAGAATAGAAAAATGGTCTAGTCTGTTCTGGTCTTTTTTTTTTTTTTTTTACCAATGGATTCATTGGATAGGAAAGTGTCATGTACGAGAGGGAGTTAACAGAGGGAGATCTGGATTAAATCTCCATGTCCTGAGAGACCTGCCCAGAAAGGAAAGCAATTAATGCTTGTTTTCCCAGCACAAGCAGAAAAGGTAAAGAAGCAGAGGAATCCCCCAGTCTGGGTAGGATACCAGGCCAAAGAGAAGGAAGGGTTGAGATCTGGAAAGAGACTTTATATGCTGGTTTCTTTTCTAGCCAGTTTAGGCACGGGAATCAAGCAGCTAAGGGCTGCAGTGCAGAAAAACCCTCTCTCCTAGGAATGCAGATGTATAATTCAATCTCCTTCTGTCTCATTGGTGTCTCTGTTTCACCTCCTTGCAAACCTGTGGGGAGAAGAAAAAGAGGCAGGGGCAATAGAGATACCACGGGTGGAGTGACATCACTTTGAGACCACTCTAGTGTCTTGTCTCTATCCTGGGGATGGAAAGAACAGTTAAAATGGATTCTCTCTCTCTCTCTCTCTCTCTCTCTCTCACACACACACACACACACACACACACACACAAATGGGATGACGCCAGACCAAGGTTTAGATCAACTGCAAATTCTAGTTTCCCATTGCAGTTAAGGAACTCATCCAGAATCACAACCCTTAACTGGCTTTGGGTGTTAAACCCTAATCAAAACATGGACAAGCACATCTGTAAGTCAAGTTCCAGTGACTGGATTAGCACATCACAGTAAGCCATAGTATGTTTTACAATGTCTTACTAAGTAAACCAAAATAGACTAGATTCTCCCAACATGCTAAGCTAAAAGTGACTTACTCAGTCTTATACAGTGAATAGGACTGAATCCACTGAATTACAGATAATCAGAACAAAGTTTACAGGGGACACGGTGGCGCAGCGGCTTAATGACGCTGAAAGTTGCTGGCCAGAAATGGTCGAC